TCAAAAATACCAGTATTACAGTTTTTTTTTTTTAAACCTAGCCTGCGAGAACATTTTGGGCAGTCGCGAGAATTCACGAGAGAGCAGCGCGCGAAAGGTGAGGTGAATGTGTGGGGAGGCTTTCTCGCGCTTTCGCTCGCCAGTCATGATAACTTCTCTTGGTAGAATCTGTAGTAAAAACAAGTGGCATGAGAATGAAAGTTATGGTACGGACAGTTTGAAGAGGTTTTCGGCAGAAGGGGCTAGAGTAAAAAGGACCAGGCTTAACAAACCTATTCATGAACTTCAAAGTTATTTAATTTTCTTTGGGCAAAGACTTTAAAAAACGTAGAAACTTGGACAAAACTTGAGTGCTTTCAAAGTATCTTCTATCATGTCATGAGAAGAGAACATTTGCATTCATAACTGCTATATTCTTGCCTCAGTTGTTCAAAAGATGGATAAGTCTATACAGTGGATAAGTATCCAATTAACAATCAATTGCTGGTTTTCAGTGTCACGCCATTCAAAGTATATCAAAATAAAAATCAAAACTATTCAATAGATAAAGCCCAGAATCTGGGAAATGAAAGGAGGTATATATGCAAAGACCCTCACCAAATCTCAGGTCAGAGGAGTATTTCGTATACGAGATATTCGAAGAAACGTTTTACCCAAATTTATAGAGTTTTGTATGGAGACGCCATGCTGGTGCTCATCCGGATGAGCTCCAACATGGCGGACGGAAACCAACAGAAAAATCAGTTACCGAGTTTTGCTACAAAAGCGTGAATTTATCCTTCGAAGAACTCATAAACATTAAAGTAATTCTTTTTCTAATACATGAACTTTTTATGGTTTAGACAGCAAATTTCCCTGAAATCGAAACCAACAACCTACATGACAGTTCCCTTAATGCCGCGTCACTCAAAAGCTTAGAAATTCAAGCGTACTCTATCACAAAACGAAGAACCCTTTTGAAGAGAAAATTCGTATGAAATTAGTTTTCAGCCACTCTAATACCTCAAGAAAGTGAAATCTCGGTAGGATCGATAGTTTTATCGTTTGAATTTTAGTGACGTCATGTGAAAACCAGCAATTGGTTCGCTCCTATATTAGTAGATGATTAAAACAAAAAAATTACCCTAAAAACTGAGATGGAAAGTCACAAAAACAAAGAGATTGAAAAGAGAGAGTTTGACTAATAGTCGCGGGTCGCGGGTCGCGGGTCCAATGTCGCGGTCGCGGGTCCAATGTCGCGGTCGCGGGTCCAATGTCGCGGTCGCGGGTCCAAAGTCGCGGTCAGGGGTCCAATGTCGCGGCAGGGGAAAATGATTTGGGGTTCGAGGTAACTGAGTGAAAACGAGTGATATGAAAAAAATATAAAGGGAAAAAAATCGTTTTCATGCATGATACTCTACGGTAGCCAATTTACAGGTTACGGATGTTAGAGTCAACAAAATAATGTCTCAAGAAAAGACGTAAAAGAGAAAGCTGGCCGGCTTTTGTGTTCACCGCAAGTTCATTTTGTTTTCTTTCTATCGGGCCCAGTTATGTATAAATTCAGCTTTGAATATACTTATGCATAACAGTATCTGATAAAAAAATGTTACCATGAGTTACCATTGTTTTCTTCTTGTCTATGAATTGCTCACAAATTCTTAGGGGTGCATTCACTGAAAAATGTGCGATACACTTCATAGACTATAAATTATAAACGTTACAACAACTTAAAACCTTTTTTAAAAAAGGCTAACTCGGGCTCGAAAAGCTACGAGTCTGTCGGTAGAAGAAACGAGAACTGTTATAATCAATTTTAACAAATGTTTTCGGCAAAAATAAAGAAAACGCTTGTTGAAAAACTTCCTGGTCGCAAACTCCCAAAATAAACTCTTTGCACAAGTAACTGGAAAGAGGAGGAGAGACGTTGGGCTTGAAGTGCCAGTAAAGTACATTCAAGCGGGTATTCAAGGCATGAATTTGATATAGAAACAAGTAATAATCCACAGCAAGAGGGGATAAAGCTCGAGCTTTATCCTCTCTTGTCCACAGAAAGGAGTTTGTTCCCACTAA